GCGAAATTTTTTTGGTACCAATAAATCCTGCCGTTCTTGCCTACTTCCGCGGAAACATAGGTGTTGAACCTTTTAAAGCCCTGTTTGTTACAAGGAAACGAATTATATTAAAAATTTGAAAATTAAAATATCAAACGGCTACAGAAGTTTTTCAGATTGGCAACGTTTTCGAAACCAGACAGATAAACGGATTGTTCCAAGTGTCTTGGAAGACCCGAAGTCCGAAAGGAATAACACCGGAGCAGATGCGAGTCAGTATTCCGATGACCGACTGTTCTGTGACTGGAGCCGCCAGGATTGAATTCCAGCCTAGATTTCGTGAATGGATGGATGATTAGGACATACAGACAAAAGATGACCATTCTGTTCTCCCATGCATTTCCTGGGCAGAACTTTTTCAGCACATCTGTTCCTATACGACTACCCGCGAAGAAATTACGGGAAGTGCTCTGTTTGTACTGCGACCAAGTTGGTGAGCATCCCTCCACAAACATGCAAAGGAGAAGAGCCGAGGACACTTCCCCTGAATAATTAATAGTTGCTATGCAACTGTCTGAAAAAGTTCTACATCGAATTTCAATGTGCATGGGGAGGAATAGAGCACGTTGGACATTCGTGAACGACCATCCCACGATATGTTGAGTAACTGAAGTAGTATGTATTCCGAGGTGAAATAGTGAATAGAGAAAGCTGGTCTGAAAAGCTGGTTTTGGACAGGCAACCACTTGGCAGACGCAAGTCGTCCACGCGATGATGAACGAATGTAGACGACAGAGTTTGTCGTGGTGGTTGGGCGTTACAGATCTCATTTGTCCTGTTGTGCTTTGGAGGCCTTTCACGAGCCCTGCCTCGTAACTACTGGGTCGCGGGCTCGTTGCCCTGTCGGATGCGATCAGGTACGACTGACAGACGACGGCTGCTAAGTCAGAAATAGCCATTCCAGCCGTTTTTGTTTTCGTCAGTAGTGCTGTTCTGCCTTCATCTTGCACCGCTGTGTGGCTGCTAGGGGAGCTCGAGAGAGAAAGGCCATAAGGTACAACAAAACGAGTGAGTTCGGCAGGGCGATCGGTGAGCGCCCCACTCTACCATTATATATTCCCGACAGCAACCAACTGGACCACGAGTTCGTGGCTCAGTAATTAGAGGCGTTGGACTCCTAAGCAACAGGCCGCGGGATCCAGCCCCAGGCGTACCACACTTCGGCGTCAGGTATGGCCGGCTGACGACGGCTACTAAGTCAGAAATAGCCATTTCAGTCTCCCTTGTCTTTGTCGGTAGTGTTAGTCAGGCTACAGTACGCGCAGCTGTGTGGCTACAGGCTGGGCTCCAGAGAGAGCCGACGATCGGCGAGCGCCCCTCTGCCATTATGTTCATATAGACATATGCATGCATATTTAGCTACCTCTGTGCTGCAGCATAAAATTCCACGATATCCGCGTTTTATGCTAAACGGCGGAGTTTATTTCATGACAAAAATGAAAATAATTTATTTGAAGCGGCATAATGGATACAAATTGTCAAAGAAAACGTAACTGAAAAGCAGCAGTCAGCTATGGGAGCCCTAACATGAACTCTTATGACATAGAAATAGACCACCAATGTGTTTAAGGGAATGCAACATTTCAAGTGCCATGGCAGGAAGTCGCACCTCCACTAGGAATGGAGGCTAATATGCGAGTCCTGTTTTTTTCGTCAAGGAGATGACGCACCAACAGGAGCATCAGTAGTCCGTGCTGCCAGTTTTCAAAGCAAGAGCAACCGTCCAGGTGTGTCGCGTCTATCCCTGAGGTCCAACAGTCCTACGAACCTACACCCTCCTAACAGGCCAAATTAATGATCGTTCAGCTAAACAGACTCCTAGACCGCTTTAGGCGCAAAAATGCGATCTTACTATACAAAAAAACTGATACAGCACTGGCCAGGTCATACGGATTGCCCAAAATCCGTAAGCACAACTCTCGTATGCGGCCAGTCCTTGTTCTCAAAGGCAGCTGCACTTAGAATCCAGTCGGCTAGGTGGCCTGAAAAGTAAGTTTTATTCATGAAGGTTTCAACAACTCTACAATGCCGGTCTTCCAATTCTTCGCCGACATGCGAGGAAAAACTGTTCGACCTGATTAAATCATAACATCATTCGACGTGGTTCCAGCATTAACATACATCACACCAGTCTTGGCGTGGGATGTTCTACGCAGACAGCTCGAAACGAGACGGTTTCCGAAAATTGAGCATCTTGCATCCTGCCAGATAACCTTTTCCACCTTCACTGGCAAGACGTACACGCAAATTAAAAGGAACGCCGATGTGCTCTCCAATATCCAGTTTAGTTTCAGAAATTGTCCGGGAAGGACTGGAAAAAGTCGCTCTCAGCCACTACGAGCCTGTTTTTGGCGTCGGTACGTGGACGACACATTCGTCACAAGTGAGAAACACAGGGCTTCAGACTTGCAGTCTGCTTAACGGCATATTCCCTGACATTCCATCCACAGGAGAACGAAAAGCTGAATGGTCATCCGTTCTTGGTGCTCTCGTTACGCGCAGACCGGACGACGAACCGAATGCTACAGTAGACGAAGTTTGGCCACGCAACCCCAGCTGGTTGACAAAATATGGTCAGCTTACTGAAACAATTTGAGTAGGTGTGGTTGCGCTGACTTTGCATACATCACGGTACAACCGTGCGTCCGCCTTGTGCTTCCATTTTGTTGACCTGGTTTTCCAAATGCGAATGCGACCTTCTTCTCTTCTTATTACGGTGAGTGGCTGTGACGCGGGGAGTGTGTACACGCCACCTTCGGTTACACCATGCATCACTTCATACACGCCTCCCTACACATGTTTTGAGCTCTGCTTGCGCTCTCCTTTCCTTCCTAATCCAGCGAGTGTCTAAGTTAAGTCTCTTAACGCTATTGTTCGGACGCGTGGTAGCTCAACGGTTCCCTTAGAGTCAACATGTTCTGCAGATTTCGCAAGTCCAGCCGACTTGTCCGCTTGCGGGTCTGTTCTAGGTGGTTTACTCGGCTGCGTTCTATAAATAAGGTAATAAAACATTCCCACTTTCAGATCAATTTAAACTTTGGTTCATTTGCAGTTTCTTTGCTTCCTACCCATCACCCATTACATTTGCTGTTTTAATGACAGTGGTTGTCGTGAAATGGCCTTTTCTTCTAATAAACAGCCATACATATGCGTTTTGTGTCCGGTTATTACTTTCCACGACAATTTCCTCGCTTCCACTTCTGCCAAAATCTCCGCTGCGTATCACTGCCTTCATAGTTTGCGGATTGACCTTGACACTGCTTTCCAATTTGTCATTGGCTACTTGATTTCGAATCGAAATTTGCCATTACTTCAGTCAGTCGCGGCAGGTTCCCCAAACTGCACACAAGGACTCTGCTTTTCTACTTTATTGCGCTTACCGAAAGAACTCCCTTCCGGAAAGCAGTTCTTTCGAATGCCGACATCTTGAGGTAACTGAATTATTTTAGAAGTTACGCTGCATGATGAGTAGTTTAACATTTGTACTCAATAAATCTTTTTAAAACGAATGCGCATTTCGGAATTCTGGTTGACATTTCATGAGTTTGCTCACCTACTATATCTATCACTAGGACTGTAAAGGCAAATCTCACCGTAGCTTATTTAAAAACGACAAGCACAACTTAGGTCTCCAGGTATTATAGAAACCCCCCTCTGTGCACAACCATGGGTGTGCCGGGGCGTTGTTCAATGGGGGTAAAATTGCACTGCAGCGGACCGATGAGTAAAAGAAGTCCTATTAGGAATGGCTATCTCAGCCCACAAAGGACAAATGGGAGGGCGCCACCGACACCATATGAAAGGAATGTGTCAGAAACAACAAAACGCGTCGCCGCAAAGTTAGGTGTCGTCCATCGTCCGACAACTACATTGACCGTCATGTTCATGCGGACGAAGATCCCATGAGCAATCGGGCTTAGTTTATCAAATCCTATGCCGTGACTGTTCCTGCCATTATGCAGATCAGACAGGTCGACGAATCGTCTCGCTAGTAATCGAGCACAAATTGGCTGCCTGTAGAGGCGACCCACTCTCTCAAGTCCCTTTTCACACGGTGAAGAAAGGCCTAGAGTTCGACGTTACGGGCAGACAACAAGGCGTGAACCGCTGGGGGCTTGGGTGCCTGACACCAAATCCGTCGGCGGACACGTCGATCTGCCCGCGGGCTATCACGGGCCAGGCTACGCGGCCCACTCCCAGGCCAAGGACACACGCCGTTGGACAACACAATCCCGGTGCAGTCACGGAAACTACTCCTCTCCCCACCACTGATTGTTTGACTACAAAATGTTCAGTTGTCGCTGCATCATCACATAGCCTCTAACGATGGAGCCCTGTATGAGTTCGAAAACCCAGACCTTTATCTCCTCTGCAACATCCCTACTAACCACAGGTGTAGTGGACGAAACGACGGCGAATCGACTAATGACTTGCGTAGTCATAAAACACTGACCAAAATATCACCCCAATTGCCAGTTAGCCTGTGAAACAGAAAATCATACGACCATGAGCATTGTTAGCTGAGACTGCTCTGTAATGGACCGCCTACTATCGTCTGTGCATTTCGTTCATTGATAAGAGATGGAAACGTCCAACAGTAGAATTTTTGTCTAAAGAGCTTCTCGAAATTTGCGAACTTTTAATTTAAATTCACTCGCGATATCAGGGTTGTTTCTTCTGTAAAGATTTTAGTACAAGTGGGTAAAATAAGTCTAGAGGAATTAAACCACGGTGGGAGAGGGGGGGGTGGGGGTAAGATAAAGCAGATTAAAGTTAACCCTAAAAGTGGTATGCGAAAATAATTATCCGAAGACAAAATCCGAATGTAAATTACAAAACTCGCTGGAGGCTGCCCGAGGGTCTTCGCTGCTGGCTGAGTAGTCGAAAAGGAGAGAACAGGAAAGACAGTATTATATCACATCTGGGAATGAGTGCGGGACACAGTGCGAGAGAGAGAGAGATTAGGAGACCGACGGGGCTGCCTTCAGATCATCACCAATGGCAGAAACGTCGGTCTGTGGGCAGAAAATGGGGTCAAGGCCGAGTCGGAGGAACATGCCGTGGACCACCTGGAGGCAGCGTCTTAATGCCACGGCGTAGCGATCTGCATCCAACTGCAGTTGAGCCAGCGCCTCTGCCGAGGGCTGCATCAGGCCTGCTGAGGGCGCCGTGTCATCGATGAGCAGGAGGATACTCTTGATTCGTTCAAACGCCGGCACGGACTGGATAATCACCTGGAAAAGTGGTAGGGAGAGGGGGGGGGGTGACGACAGAGAATGCGGGCAAATTGATGCAAGACCGTTCCGTCCTCTTCCAGCATGATATAATCAGTCGTAACTCCGGTGCAGAAACACAAACAGGCGCACGCACACATTGCAGGTGAACCATAGACGGGGTCTACCAGATGGGCCATAAACAGTTTTCCAGTGACTTGCCACCTGGTGGTCTCCATCGTATGGTAAGGGGAAGCGGGTTTGTGATGCTACGCCTTAATGTGGGTTTTCGCCGTGCCGAACATCTGAACCCTCTCACGCCTCCAGGCTTCTTGGCTCTGTCTTGACACCGGGCCCAGGTGGGGGAGGGAGAGGAGGGAGTGCGGTAGATGCAGCGCAAGTGAGCTATACCTTTAAAGCATTTTACGCGCAAGTCACCGTCCCTGTACCGTCATGCTGTGGAGCACGAGGTGGACATAGTCGAAACCAACAGTCAAACCTTCGTATAAGGACGAGGATAGGCTCAAGCATAGGCTGGGCCACGCTACCCTTTGTGTTGAATGGCAGACCAGTAATGGTGAAACAGGCAAAAGCCGTTTTTGGAAGATCGATATTCTTTACAATAATTTAGACGTATTGAGAGAAAAACTCCCCAGGCACACTAAACAACATCAGATCTGATGCCTCCAAGTGGAAAGAGGGGGCGGGAACATTAATCCAAAAAACGGTTTGTGCACCTTAACGTTGTAAGTGACGAATCCGGTCAGATCTTATTTCGTAGTCGCACCTGCAGTAGAAAAGCCCCGGCTTAACTTCTACCAGGTACGTCTACGAAACAGGATCTTGCCACGAATTCTACAACCATCAAGTCTGCGCACAGGTCTGCTTACGTAACGCGTCCGCTGTGATTGGCGCACACTAGACACCGAATGCACACCCGGGCTTGGAAGTGCGTTACTATGTTCTCCGGCGTGTCCGAACTCCGTCGTATGGGCCCCCTCCTGCGTATGCCAGTCCTTTGCCGTCTATGGCGTGAACAGTGCGCAAAATTCTTCTGTTGCTCCTCCTCACAGCCCCTCCCGCCCTTGAATATGTTACCTCGGGAAATCGCACTTTCATGACTAAGCTCCAATTGCGCCGCACCCACGATATGGTACTAGCGCCGACAAGCAATTTGAGTGTTGCTGCTAACGGAAACCCAACTCATTCAGATGTTCTGACAGTAATCAAGGCTCATTCAAACAAGCCGCGCTGGCGGTGACGATTTACTCTTACATGGGTGGCTCGCGTCGCGACAGCCGAAGGCTGCACCTTGTTTAACTGCGCAAAAGCTCCAGCCCGCGCTCGAGTAATGGCAAAAGTTACCTAAACCACAAGCACGGCGATAGGATAGCTGACTGAGAGGACGCTTGCTGGTTGTAGCTCTCTCAGCCGTCACCTAGGTCCGTCGTGCACACAGCGGCCACCGAGTGGACGTCAACCAGGCACTTCGAGTCATCTTCAGAGTGTCGGCGAGGCACTCCAAGTTCCGGCGTCTGCGAATACTTGCGACGCAGAAGCCGTGGCTATACGATTAGCTAACCCTGCCCTGTGCTCGCAAAAAGCGTTTGTACAAACGCTACGGCTCCCCTGTGCAAAAACAAACCCAGCGTATGTGTTCAAACCCGCCACGTCGCGTTACAGCGATGAAGCAGGGACGGCTAATCGCCATATACCTTCTCCCTCTCCCTCCCTAAGCACCTGACAGAACTAGAATCTGACCCCTGACCTCCTGATTGCCTTTTAGTAATAATACTTATATTTAATGGCAGTTTACAGGTACTGTCGAAGAAAGATCGAACTAACAGTGAAATAAACTCCTCATGAATAAATACAGAGAACGGCGTTTTTGTAGCTTAAATGGTTCAGGAGAAACAGGACTGGCTGTTTAACTTTTTCTATTCTGCCTTAGCTGTTAAATCATTCGTGTCAGCACTTGTTGACTGGATTTCCCGATTAGTTTGTTTTTTTAGCGGTGGTTACACTAGAATCTGCGGATGAGACCCACCACATCGAAACCGATTTTCACAGTCGCGTCATCCGCCAGTAGCGTTGACGTAGGTCTGCGAATGACGATGGACTTGGCCTTTGTATGGTCGCTCAACGGATGCCCGCTGGCTGTGAACGGCTTCTGAATACCTAGCTAGTGTTACTACACGTGATCAAGCGAGTGCATTGAATGCGCATGCAAACTGGTACTTGGGAAGACGAAAGCCCGCTTGGTGGCCCATTTGGCGGGGAAACCGGATACATTTTTACGAAGAAAAGACCAATGCAAGAAGCATATAAAGACATCAGGGTGTTTTACCATTGCGGTGTTTCGAAGTGTCCAATCGTGGAAGGGGCGCAGGGTTCGGGCGTAGGCATTTGTAGCGGCTGTCTGCACATGAGTGGTCATCCCGGCACCCGACGGTTCGCCCGCTGTCGTGTAGTCTGCGAACAACCCCGAGATGAAGTCAGTCGCAAAGTTGAGAGCCCTAAAATTTCCAGAGGGGAAAAGCAAGCAATTCGATGAACAGTATACCAAACATAGGGTTAATATCAGTGATTGGAAGTCCTGTCTTATGAAAGCCAGGAATTTGAACTTGAAAGAATAAAGACCGGATTGTATAATGTACGTAATTAGCTATGCGACATGCGCGTTTATCAATCGGGCTACACGACCTGCTAGTCCTCCTGTGTAAAATAATTTTAAAAAAATCAGTTAAAATAATGAATGGTCACAATAAGGAACAGCTGACGTTACAGCAGTCGACCAAATGCGTGTGAAGTAGTGCCACCATTAGGACGGTCACCTAGGCAGAACTTAACCTTACCATATTCTCATCAGAGACACTTCCTAGGAACCCAGAGGCACATTCCAACAATTTGCTGTCGTTGCATAATGCAGATGCAAGGTATACAGCCGCTCGGTCGCAAGCACCGAGTCTTGATGTCTCTATTTGCGAATGGACATTTTGTGGTTTTAAAGAATTTCACAAATACATACTTTTCTCAAGCAAAAGATATCGCCTCTTAAAGAGTGGAAAGTAAATAAGACGCGAGTTGCTATTAAATGGGCTCAATAAAGAATATTTTTATGCAGGCTTGCTAAAAATATATTTGAGCTAATAGGGGTATTGACATTCAACGAGAACATTCATGTTCTTAAATCAGTCCTTTTGAAGCGGGTGTACTTTCTGTGGGTGACCGGAGGTAGCCTCATTCGAAAGTCAGTATCCGGCCGGGACGGAAATATCTAGAAAATTATGCTGCATGACAATCAACAGTAAAATCCCACCTAAGTAAACCCTCTAAACGGAAAACGCATTTCATAATTTCGGTTAAAATTGCATGAGATGGTCCGACACTAATCTTAAACTGTATAGTTTCAACAAGCCAAGTATCTCGGTGAGTTTGCTATGGCAAACGTGCGGAAGGAGTGACGTGATCTGGAGATAAAAGGTAGTGTGCTAGCTTCCCGTTCGTGGTTTTCATGCGAGGTTGCTGAATTTATTGAAATAAAGAGCGAATTTTCATTTCCTCAGGTCGAGCTGGCGAAAACAAATCCGTCATTTCTCCTAATGTAGGCAGGAGGAATGGTCAGGAGCTTACGAATCATCCGAAGGAGGTTAAAAAATATTCCTGTCAGTTTTTGACGAAAACTTAAAAACCAGAAGATGCCGAATAATACGAATATTCAAACCTCGGAGGCAGCCCTTTGAAACAAAGGTGTTCTATTTTCCAAAACTTCGCACGAAATCCCGTGCATTTTACGTCTGTCAGCTAGAAAGCCTTTCCACTAACACTGCATTCTGATTTTCCGCAAAAATAAGACCAAGTTGCTTTCCAAGAGCTACGGCGCGAATGTAAAAGTCCACAAAAAGTGGAAATCTAGTCATTATTTCCCCGCATTTTTTCAGAATTGATGTATAGGATTATTTTTGAAAAAAAAGTCCAATTGTTTGCATATGTGTGAAAAATAAACACCGAATGCAGCAGTGCTCATTTTGGTTTCTGTGAGACAGACCTGCAGAGCCAAAGCATTGCAAAGTACGCCGACCCAATGTTGCGACATCGACCGGCTTGCGACTCGGCCGATAAGATGTCTTGCAGGGATATCTCCAGAGACTTGAGATTGGCGGTGCTAACGTTTGAGGGCTGGTTCTTGACGCTCCCGGTGGAACTCTTCCTCGAAGAGCCGTTGCTTACCCTTGAAAATATGCTTTTCTTTTCCTCACACAACGTACTCACCGCCAACTCCAGGCGCACTATATTGCCCATAACATCGGCGTAGACTGTCTGAAGACTGCCAAGACGGGAGAGTACTGGTTGGCCAGCCTCGTCAGTTGTGGCGAGGATGTTAAAGAATTTCAACAGGCTCCGAGACGAGGCCAAAAACTCCACGGCCTTGAGGCGGTCGCTGGTGACGGCTGGTGGAATGTCCTCAAAACTGAGAAACAGGAGTGAAGAAAAGAGAACTTCAGTAAACACAAAGCCAAAGTTAATCCCACACCACACAACTCGATTAATCCCAGCTCCGTACGGGAATAAACGTGTGAACATAGGAAAAAAGGCACCAACAAAAACAAAGACCATAAAATGGACTCACTCCGAGGGTTCTTTCCAGTTGAATAATCATCAAAGGTATGAGGTCATATTCGACTTGAGTTTGCTGATGCATCTTGATTAAAGAACAGGCATACCTAGCTTCGCAACACGTATGTGCCTCATATGCAACAAGCAAGACCAACAAGGATAAATGGGTCACAAATGATCGTTTCTGACTAATTAGACGTCACTAACTGTTATGACCCGTCTGGTACTTGGAAGCCCGTGGAGCATATACGAACTCGACCCTTGTTCCCAATACCAAAGCATCAGACAAAAAAAAACAAGGCCGGCCACGGAAAGTGCATTAGAAAAGCACTGAAAGTCAGGATTAACTGGAAGTAACGCATATTTATAACGGCCTACTGTGGTTCGCCGGTATTCGACCCAATGCCCTTCCAGACGAGCTGGTCGATAAGTCGAATACGCAGGTCGATCAAACCCGAGGGGCAAGGCTAATAGAGTCGCCACGATCAAGATGACAGCGCTGTAGAGAAAACGCACGTGGCCTCTAGTGATTGGCTGGCTCTAGTTTTGGAAGTTTAGGCACTCCCAACACTAACCAGACCCAACTGCAGGTTTGGACAACCTAGGATTCGAACTCGGACTGTTCGGTCATTGAGCGGTAAGTACAGACTTGAGAAAATGTGCACAAAACAACATTTCAAACGTGCTGAAAAATCAATATCATTCGGCGTTTGCGCCAGTAAGCGTCCGCCGATGGCGAAACCACTTGTCGCAAATGGCCCTCCGCTTAAGATACTGGACACACCTTCGCATGGGACAAAACTCGCGCTGTCGGAATTCGCTCCTCTAAAGAAGGTCGAGAGTTTCTCGAGGCCATGCACTCCGATGAATCATGCATCAATCGACACATTGAGTTAGATTCCACGTACAAAAATCTCAGTAAAAAGCGGAAGAGAAGAGGGCCAATCAATACTGAATGACGCGCAAGCGGCCGTTTACTGGCGCAAACGTCAAACGATTTTTCAGCACGTTTAAAATGTTAATTGTGTTGTGCACATTTCCTGAAGTCTGAAGACGACCTTGGGAACCAACGGCAAAAACTTACTTAATACAATTTTCTACTTTTCCTGAAGAACGCATTTGCTCTCCAATTATATTTTTTGGGATGCCTGCGTTCCAATTTGTATATATGGGGGACATGCGTAAAAACGTTAACTAATTAACCTACCTTAAAAGTAATTCTACAGTTAGCCGAAGCCTGTGTCAATTCGCGTTGAGTGCATTTCTTTATGCCCTCAGCATGGCATGCCTTCAAAAATTTGCATGTGGTTTTTTAAGTCAGTATGCTGATCGGTATATGTCTCATCTGAGCGCATTGCCCTTCCTTATTGGGCAGGCGCCAGATACGTTTTCAACCTATGAGACAGTTCACCAGGTAGAAGATTTTGTTGCCTGGGTGGCCTTAGTGCTTAAAATGCCATTCATGCACTTACGCACAAGGTCACATGAGCATCCATTGTAGAAAAATAAATTGAAGAGGTATTTCACATTGACTTGATAGCATTATTCATCTAAGCAGTGTGTTTTACCGCGATCTAGCAGACTGTAGACAGAACTCCTCTTGTGATAGATGGGATGGTTACTTTCTAAATATATGGTGGCCCGGTAGATGCTTGCCTGGTCCTAACCCCTATCAACCATACGAAGCTTGCTTACGCCGGAAAGCCAATGGATCGGTGTGCGCCCGTTCTTGAATGAATGAGATAGAGCGAGATCCTAACCACAACAATGAGGTTGACGCGTCCACTTGGCATGTTTATATAGCTCATTTGATACGGTTTATGACGTTTGATGATCGGTAACCACCGTGAAACAGCTGTCTGCGTCTGGCCTGTTGCAACTTTAGTGAGCTGCTTACGTAAAATACATATGTAAAGGCAGAATGTTGTTACCGACAGAGACAAGGGAAACCTATTCTATTTCTGGCTTGTTAGACGTTGTCAGTCAGTCATATCCAACCCCGATTTGTGGGATACCTGGGGCTCGAACTCGCGACCTGTTAGTTAAAATTCCAACGCTTCTAACCACGGAACCACTGGCTCGTAGTACACAGTACTGCCGACAGAGGTACTAACTAAAAGCCCAGACACGTGTTCCGCCGATATTCTGTCGCTGCATGATACAGCTGCGAGGGGTTCGGCTCTTCAGTGGGTCCCCCAGCGTCCCCTATGAGGTTTCTCGTATATGGACTCCAGAGAATAATTAAGTGATTAATTTCAGAAATTACTCAATGCAGGACATGGAGGTGAGTCTCGGGAACATGACTTTTTACGGTCAGACGCGAAATTTATATAAACATTGGAGTCGAAGAAAATCAATTACTGTAAAATAACAACGTAATGCCCATTCTACAAACAGGTAGTACAACGGGTAGTTTGAAATGTACATGGAAAACGTAGTAAACCTTACTCCCGACATAGATACTAACTAAAAGCCCAGACACGCGTTTCACCGATATTCTGCCTCTGCGTGGTACAATCCATTTGACCCACTTGTGAAAAACTTTGGTTCCTCAGTGTAATTCAAACCCACGACCGCAAAAGCAAGACTTGAGTACAGGCAACGATCGGACAACCTCAGCTTCCAGGCTCTACCGGGAGCCCTAAATTTAACCACATTTGGGCCAAGTTACCCGCCCAGCCTACTGCAAGGTATGAAACTCACAAAATATGATGCAGTAAGTTGGCTGCCCAAATAGGATTTCCCAATCAATCAATCTGGAATCCACCAGACGACTACGAGGCTTAAATAATTTTTTGCTATTACTGGCGGATAAGAATCTTATCGAGACCACCGAGTTTTCCATAATTGGGTCAAATGAATTATTCAAATCTGACAAAAACAGCGATAAATACATATAGTCGACAGGTTTTGTGCACTTGTGAAAGACTGAAACGATCATTTAGATGCCAACCGAAGAGCAGAGGTCAAGACGAAACGATAAACATTTGGAACTGTAATACAACGGAGTAATTTCTTCAACAGTCAACCACCGCTCCAGATTGACCCAGTCGGACACCTTTGCGTCCGTCGTACGGCCAAGAAGACCACATCTCCTTCTACACCACACAGCAGAAACTGCAGTTTCATCAATAAAAACGTTTTTCAGACTATAACAACTTGTTTCGGTTCGGGTCTGACGTCTGAGTATATTATTACTGAGACAGTAGGGCCCAGGATCCCCTGCAGTACTTTGCTGTTCACGCACACACACGCACACGTAAATAATGAATTAAAACAAACTGTCCCTTCACTTGACACGGCAAAAGTTAGATGAGCATCACACGTCATTTACATGGCAGTCACGCGTTAGCCCGCTAACTCGTGAAATGTCAGCTGAAATTCAAAAATGCGTTTTCGTTTCGCAAAGACTAAGTAAGTAAGATTGTAAAACTGGTCAACCTGCAGCATCATTCTATAATATTTCAATTACCTCGGGATACCAGCTTTTGAATGAACTTCCTTCTGACTGCACACATAAACTACACTCTGTAAAAAATGACTACATACGTAGCATGCATTTTACTCATTGATTTCCGATACCCCTAAATGTCCAATTATATTTCATGGAAAAAAATGCATACAAATATTCAGTCTTTTGTTTACTCAGTAGACAATTACGTCTTCATCCAATTTTATACTCAAAGGAGTGACATAATCCGATTTTTGGAAAGTTTCTCCGTATAGGACTCCTAAATACCGTGAAATGGCCGTTCAAAAATGCATACATCTGTATTTACCAATATGGCTTGTAAAATTAACAGTATGGATCAAATCCACTGCTTAATTTTATGAACCATATATGGTCCCCTTTTACTATCTTAGATAAATGTGTGATTTTTGTGTACGCGGAAAATATACGACTCGTAGTCTCGAAACCCTGAATCAAAGTGTGGCGATAGAGCAGGTTCACAATTATTCGGGACTTGAGAAATTCGAAAACCGAATCATGTCACTCCTTCGAACATAAAATTAGAAGAAGACGTAATTGTCTAGCAAATGAGCAAAAGAAATATAATTGGACTTCTAGGGGCATCAAAATTCAATAAGAAAAATGCATGCTGTTTAAGTATCCATTTTTTTCTAGAGTGTAGTTTTTGCATGCAGCCGGAAGGAAGTTCATTCGAAAGCTGGCATCCTGAGTTAACTGAATTATTATAGAACTATGTCGCACAATGATTAAGTTTACAACCCTACCTAATTAATCTCTTCGAATCAAAAACGCATTTCGGGATTTTGGTTGACATTTCATGAGTTAGCCGGTACAGCAACGAAGGGAAAAATATTGCACGCGAGCATCGACACATCACCCATGTGTGAGAAGTGTGTTTTTACAAAGTCGGTCATGTGGTTCGAGAGACGAGCACGTGCGTGAAAAGCTCAAGCTGCTCATAAACCACTTCAGCTACTTCCTCCAATTTCAGCCCGTCTTAGCTAGCAGACCCGGATAGGGCATTGGTGCATGGCAGGGGTAAGGAAAGAGGGGGCAGATGTCCAGATAGCCATCTTTATGGCAAAGCAGCACTATGGCGAATGGGATGCGTCGAAATATCAGGGCGTTCTATTTATCGAAACTAAGAAGACTGCTGGTCGACGGAAATTAGTCAGACCTCCTTCGAAGTTGGCAGGAAAGATTTGTAGTAAATACCAGAACGCGTGCGTCACGGTAGACGGAAAATTTGGCTTCTTCGGTCACGGAAACCACAGCCTTTCCCGGTTATTTTGAGCTTAGTCTGTCATTGGAACAGGGGCGACTGTAAGAGTTGAGGGTAAGGTAGACGCGACAAAAGTTTGCTTCACTACAGACATGCTTGCGAGCAAGTCACCCCATCCCTTGCAACGTCCGGACTGCCATCAGTCGCCCGCACATAATCATAGATTCTAGTACCCAGATCCAGACTCAAGCTGAACGGTAGATGTCAAAAGCAGACCTTTAAGTGCACGCGCGGACAATCCACCACCAGGAAAATTACTGCCTATGAGTCAAATTCAGGCATAATGAGCAGTTCATCAGGACGCCAATTTTTTAAAGCAAGTCCGATACTTAAAAACCTGCGGGACAGTAGAAAATACAGCCGCATAGCGCAGTCGGGTAAAAACAAGACGACAGAAATACTAGCGTTGCTTCGATGGGTCTTGCGGAGCTTCAATTCGCTGAATAACGTTGTGCACCCCTTATTTTTGCATTGATCTTTTTGCACTGAACTAACTATACTGCACCTCATGAGACTTTCCTTGCCATCTGCAGCACCTAGTTGGTCATCATGAATTGGTCAGCATTCCCGCAAAATATCGCGTGATATTTAAGCAAGCAAGACGGGATAACCCTTCTTGCCTGGGAGGTTGCCAAGTGACGGTACAAGGCAGACCTCTCAGTCAACCCCTGTGTGTGCGTGTTTGTGTAGGTGATTGGCGTACTGATAGTAAGATTCCGTCCCTCAAACGGCCAGGCGATATCCGGAATGCACAACCATGGCATAGGTCAACAGGACCAGTTGCAGGCTCCCGTCGAACCAATTGGTGTTCAAGCTGTCCCCACCACTTTGTCTTCAAGTGCAAAATTCTTTTTTGGTGTCAGTTGTGGAGCCAGAGCATGTGGTGGTATGCCTAGTTGCGGATTTTTGCCGTGCCAGCCACCTGCGACCTCCCTCGTCTCCGGTCTTCTTGACTGGACACCGGATTCAGGTGGAGGAGGAGGAGAGGGTGAGGTGGATGCAGCGCAAGTCTACAATGACTATAAACTAATTCACGTGCATCTTGCAGCTCCGGCTCCAATCCGCGGGGCCGCATACGATGAATATCATCGGAGACGACGGCCGGGCTTTCGTGCAAGAAGGCTAATCAAATTGCTTTTCACTTTTTTTGTTAACTGCATCGTGATTGGTCAATGATGCTGCGCCATTAGTACACAATGACACGAATCATGCAATTTGTCCGGACTGACCTCCGGTCCTTTCCTTAACCTCGGGTGCGTCTCCTATCCTGAAGAAACTAACGCCGCCCCGCATCTACCAAGCGAGCTAAGCACACTGCGCTTACCGACAAGAAAAATGCAGAAATTGAGAATGTGGGATAGCCTTCAGCAGACGTAAAATTCGTAGCATGAAACGAACAAAAACATACTAAACAGCGTTCAACGGCTTCCGCCCCCCCCCCCCAAAAAAAAACGTTTTTCATTATTTCGGCTGACGTGGGCTGGAAAGCTGCCAACTGAAGAGACAACTCGATCTTTCTGATCGGACCGCAGTGGTCCCTTCTCAATTAGGTCCTTATGGCATTCACACGTAAAGGAAATCCGAACAGCCCTTGCAGTAGTCCCCTTCACATGGAGTGGGGGCAGGTCTCGTGTGAAACACGCAGATGGACTGTTTGGTCAGAAGAAGAAGAAGAAGAAGAGGCGGTCGTTGACACAAGGGCTTTATTCGCCTGACGTTTCGGATTCTCACCTGAACCCATCATCGGAGACAGTGGCAGAAAAGGAAGAAGTTGCGGACAAAGCAACTACGTCGGCAGGCCTCGTGTGACACACGTAAATCGACTGTTTGACCTCGGCAGGCACAGTTTCCGCGACCACCACCGGTCTTGCTATTAATGGAGAGTTAATGTCTGAAGAGAGAGAGAGAGACAGAGTGCGACAGATTCTGCGCAAGTCAGCCTCACTATCAATTTATTCGCGCGCGTAAATCAGCCGTGCTGAGCCCATTCCGTAGAATATGCGATGTTTGCGACGGCCAAACTTTCATGCGCGTGAATGTGTAGGAAGAGAGGGTGATTCATTAGACAGCTCTAGATCAAGATGACGAGAAACGGTGTGGCGTGATGGCTTGGTCACATACGCTCGTCCTAAAAGTCGTTTAGAGTTTTTCGAAAGTTAGAGCCAGTAGTAGGGGAAGCTCCATTTTTTCGGAAATTTGGAGGAAGTAATAAACCGAGAGTAAAACCCCCATTCCTACTAACCTGAACTCCATTACAGAAAAGAAGGTCTGAAAAGGACGAGTTAGACGAAGGGATCGCAGATGAGCATTGAGGAGTGTGCCATTAGTCAGTCGACCTGCGGCGCCATCATCGTTGACGGAACTTTTCCGGGAGCTTATTTTACGCTCCGACTTCGTCGTCTTTGCGCCGACGGGCGCTGTAGGGGTGTGATCTTCGCCAGGTTCCGATCTGCAATTAAGATAGATAGACGATGGTATTAAACCGTAAGCCCGACTGTCTAATTTGGCGCACAAAGTAAGCATGGTAAAGGTATTTCGCAACAGCAAAATTGCCTTTGCTGCAAACAATAAAACAAAAGGGTCCGTTATGAACTTAAAAAAGTCGCAATAAAAACCTCGAAAATGAAGACTATTAGGGTTGGCAAACTTTTACTATTAAGCCTTTTCCATTCCGAAGAGTAGAGTCGTCATTTGGCGAAGACAGTAACATAACTAAAAATCAGCTGATGCGTTCTTGTGAATCCATCGGGCACAGACCGACGGATTGGGGCTTGGAGCACCAACATACACCAGTTACCACCGTCGCAACTGTCCGCACTGCCCATACATATTCAGAAATCGCATGGGCCTACTCGGTCACAAGCGTTTTCACGAAAGTCTGCGGCAACCACAAGCAAGACCACTTCACCACACACACTTTCCCATCAGCGCATGTATCACGCATGACCTCGTCGAACACTACACACCACAAGCGCAAAGCAGGCCCCTGTCACGCATGTTGGAAGGGTGTTCTTAGGCTCCCTCTCTATGAGGCTCCTCTAATGCATGTAAGATTCGAGCAGTCCATCCACTTTTGTGGTAAATCTTGGTGTGAGCCGGGTCGTGTTTGTGTTTCACACGTGCCAACGGGCCATACTCAGCTCCGTCAGACACTTCTCCCAATAAAACGAGAAGGCTCGACGGAAGATCAAGGTATACGCATGAATTTTCAAGTCAGTTACACCAACCCTTCGTCAGACGAAATGAAAGGTGTGTGGGAGATAATCGTCAGACGCCAGAAAAAAACCACAAAGCGTCGACTCTAACGGATACAGTGTATCACAGAAATTCTATTCACTGTCCTACATGCCGAGAATTTCCGAAGCGATCGCTCGACAATTAAATCAGTTCGGCATCTCCATCGCCCACAAATCGGTGTCTTCATTGCGCACGACATTATCCCGTGAAAAAGACCTCATACCGAAGGAGCAGTATTTCATGTACAAACTCCTCTAGCATTTATGTTGGGCATACCGGCCGACGACTTGGGACCTGCACTAACGAACATAAGTTGGCCAACCGCCGACGGGACCCCTTGTCTCTTGTGTTTGCGCACGTCCATGAGTGTGATTATCGCCTCAACTGGGAGGGGATTGAAGTGATCGATAGTGCCAACACCAAAAGGGCGCGAGAGTTTCTAGAATCTTGGCACTCCAATAACAATAGCATCAACCGCCATGTCCATTTTGACGCTCACTACGAAGGCTTACGTTCACGGTTCGCCGGCTTACGCCCACCCTAAGACACCAACTGCTAATCCATGTTCGGCCACGTAGAATATCACGGATTCAGCACCTCCCCCAAAGAGTGAACCATGCGTGAAACCCTCAACACCTCCCCAAACGTCCGCCACCTATCCAAACACATTCTTCACCCCCACACATAAACGTCTGTCTTGCCGATGTAACCTCGATGTCCCCATAGCTCCCCAGTGCGATTATCTCCCTCACACTTTCCATTTCGTCTGCCGACGTGTTGGTGTAACCGACTTGAAAGTTCACGAGTATACCTCGATTTTCCGACGAGCCTTCTCCTTTTATTATATCGTCTCGGAATGCATACTACCTCTGTTATTCATAACTTCGCCCAATCTCTGCATCGGTTAGTTGAGCGGCTGAGGCAATAGACTGGTCCGCGGGAAAGGTGAGAGAGTGAGTGAGGTCGATCCTCAGCGCTCTTTTCTTCCGCCATAAACCATCTGACGTGCTCGGAAACATCACGCAGCGCTAGAAGTCGCGGCATGAAGGACTGCCAACTGACGATCGTTGTACTGAGAACCATGGCTCCACAAACAGGGCGCTAGAGATCCGCGAGATGCAGTTTAACTCGTCATGGACCGTTGACGTCGAGGGCAGCCACACCCTAATGAATGGCAATAGCAACGTCACGCGTGCAGACGGCTCTTTGCCAAAAAGCCCCCACAAGAGTGACCAAAATGAAAATCAAAAAAGACTTTTGTAAGCGTTGACTGGATTGGACTATAGCGCTGAAACCAAAGGATGGCCACACGGACGCGTGATACAGACTAGACTGAGACTTTGCGTGCTCGGTAGGCCACAGCTCGGTTGTCTTGACTCGGAGAGTGAGAGTGAGAACAAACCCGAGGTGAATTTGGTCACGCAAACGCAAAACCCACTTTCTCATCAGAACTAAGCTTGGTAGAGCTCGGAAACAAGATCTTACTAGGATATAGGGAAGTCCACGCGTGTCCAGTACGGGAACCGTAGTAACAGGGGTTTTACGGGTGGGGCTACGGTAAGACAGAGAAGGATGTACGAGAGCTAAGGAAAAAGTGAGTGTAGTAAAACTAATTGTGCTAGTTTTTCTTATTCGGTACCAAAATCTCAGTTAGAGCAGCGCTCAATGAAGAAATTCCCTCAAAATAGCCAGTAAAAACCAACTGCGTGAAGGATAATGTTGATTGGCCCGTCAAGGTCATTGAGCCTACACAGCCCAGGAAGGTGACCAATCAGACGGAAGCTATAGACGAAAGTTGCAGGAAGTGGGTGCAGTGGCCCAAAAACCAACCCTCTGTTCTAAAAGCAAAGTCTAATACTTGCTCTATCCCTAAATCCTAACCATAAACTCTAAACCCTGACTCCAACCCCAAGTTCTGAGCCTAACCCAAAATCACAACTCTTAACTCTAAAAGACGAGAGTGAGAGTGAGGACAAAGCCACGGCGAATTCGGTCACGCAAACCAAAAAACTTACCTCCCCGCCACATTAATGCCTACGCGCTGTAAACAGTCATCACGCGTTAATGGTCGTGACCTGATAGGTTGGTTAATGATGGCAAACGGTTTTCAACCTCCTCCTCCTCCCCAGAATTAGAGACTAGGTTACCATAGCTCCAAATTTTGTCAATTTGGGCAACTTCCAGACACACGTAAAATCCGAGTCATTAAAGGTCTATTTTTGTGAGCATGATTAGTCCAGCCTTTCCTGAAGAAACGTTCGCAAATGATCAGGCGTCCTTTATTAGCCGATTAAATTTACACAAACTAGCCAATAGCCTGCAGAAAGTGTGCGGGAAAGCAGGGTGCGAAAACACTAACGTTTTTTGTAGTTTTTGAGTCGACGTCATCATTGACATCAACGTTGGCCTTGTCAAGAATCACGATGCAAATCAAGACGACAGGAGCTCGAGAAAGGCAAAAGATACCGGTCAGGCACATATATGTCAAGGTCAGGTGTGTACAAGGACGCCAGACCTAAGCATGACAGCAGGGGCACTAGAAACGGCGCGGCATCAAACATGAATGCCAAACTCAAACACCACCCAGTACGATGTCACTGCCTGTTCATTGGTTAACACCAGGCCCTTCAAATGTGATCGCTCAAACTGTTGCTTAAAGCCGGTGCTTTTGCCGACTTACTACGAAAGCACCAAAGGTAGTGAAGAAAGTAAGCCGCAAACGAAAAAGAGGACAAATCAGAGGAGAAAATAACTTGCCTAACATCTTGGCTAGAAGGTAAACTATTGCCGTTAAACTGTGCCGGGGCTGTCTGAAGGTTGCTTGGAATGAGGGGTTTCCGTGTTCGCGCATCCGGTAGAAATTGCGGCCCGTCAGTTGTGGATGCGCCGGAGGACGCCTTCGCACGTTTTGCAACAGCTGATGCTGCTGTCTGGCTCGAGGGACCGTTTGAGGTGAGAAGGCGAATCAGCTCGTCAGAGGTCGCCAGAAAGGTGTCGCAAGTAGCTTTTAGGTTCTCAGTCGTCTCCTCGACATCCTAGGCATGTCAAAACTGTGCAGTGTATAAATAACTAAGGAAGCATCTTCAGTGCCAGTGGCATATTATGTAATGAGTAGTAGAGGTCTGACAAATGGAGCTGTGGTCTGTAACCGTTAGATGCCAGGAGACCGGAAGCATGACAATTTGGTAAGTAACGACACCGAGAAATCTAAGTATCGGGTTCAAGAGTTTGGGCTGAATCTTGGTCAGGTGCGTGTTCCAGAAAATACACTAATGTCGAAGGTTGGTGCTGAGAGACTCATCTTCCGCCCTTACTCCACATACCAACCGCTGTTCCTGTCTCCCGTACTTCCCTTTGACCTCCCTCCAGAAAGTTTCCAGGTACCCCGGTTGTCATCTCATCCATGAAAAGACCGGTGGAGGTGGCTTGTGACGTAAAACTCAGGAGATCTCCGGTGCTGGATAGAAACCATAACGACGAGAGTGCCTAGCCTTGCAAGCCTCCAGCTCCAAAGACTACCTTCATATATCGAATTTCTTCGAATGTGCCGAACTTGATCTTGCTAGGTACCGATAAAGGGGTAAGCCAAATGAAGCAAAAAGCGACGCCTCATCCAGCCATCCTAAATTACACGGCTTTTCGTCGGATAGTGTTGAGGGCAAGGGAAAATGGCAATAGTATGCTGTATCAGATCCCTTGCGGGTTACGCTTTGGATGCACGAGAGAACATGTGAGCCGGTTAATAAAGGGGATCTACGTGTTGAGGATGCGGGAACCTCTTCAGAGTTACTGACACGAAGATGACTTAAGAGTCCTATTTCCCAGACACATCAGTTGATCAAAACCATTTGGGATAACCAACCATGAGCACACTCATGTGCTTCGAGCTTTGCATTAGGGAAAAGCAAGAAAAAAGCCCTGAACAATCACAGTACCACTTTTTAGGATATTCCTGGTCCAATATATGACTTAGTCAAGATCCCAGTTTGGGTCATGCCAGTTGAATAGTAATATCTTTGTATTTCATTTGTGCTGGCGAAAAGGCATTAATTGACATGTTTCCAGATCGTGGGCTAATATAGAAGGTTGCATTTGCATACCAGTAGTCTTGTTGCCAGTACCTTAAGAGTGCGGCGTATCATGCTAAGGTTATCTGAACACATAAGATAGACATGCGCCACAAATCATAAAGGCTGCCGACAGAACTCTTTTAGGCCATTTGAGGTATTCACTATCCCGTCATGTCATCTTACTCGTCTCCGAAAACCGTATTTATCGGGCATTTGCCTTGGCAGTTCTCCCTTGTGATTGTGAAGGCTGGGATTTGCATGGGAGCAACGTTGCGGTTTTTTACAACCTTTATTTTAGATGACGCAGTCGTATTTCGTTTCGTATTCGCTGTAAATACGCCGCAACTATTTCTTCCATCATTGCAGAAAGGCGATGAATGTAGTTTGGGAATATTTTGCATGGCTATCCTATGAATTCTCTGTTGCTGCTGCCTCGAATCGAACGCCAGTACGCACCCGAAGGTGGTGAAGGAGAGGACATCTCGAAATATGGAGAGGCTGCACCAGAGCCTTCCCTTTCCTTCGTGGGTAAAGAGGATATGCTGAAATCTCAAGACCCACTGCCCTTGATCCTTGCGCATGGAGAAGTACTAGGTGAGACATCACTGAGATTGGGCTGATCAGAATCGGTCATAGACGTATCAAGCGCCAGTTATTTCGGATATTCCTGGATCTCCGGTCTAAAGACAGCAAAAACGGTTGCAAAGCTAATGGAAATAAATGCCCAAGATGTATTGTCAACAAAGGTAGGGAGGATCTGAATGAATTTCGGCCTCACTTACCGTCCTCAGCCAGCCCCTACCCAACCCTAGACTGAGCCCGATCCTAATGCATTCTGATCGGCGACGCCCACGACCAACCGTCTGTTTACGCGTGCCTGCGGCTAGGCAATCGTTAATGAGCAAGATCACCGCCCATCCCCTTACTTCCACCATAATCATCGCCAGCATCATCAGCACCACAACCGGCTAAAGCCCTCCCCCCTCCTCCAGAAAAATGCACATGGGGCCAGCTGACCTACCCCTAAGGCGCCAAAGCCTATAGAGGGCACATCCGTGGCCACGCAAGTGAACATAAGCAAACTGCCTTTACAAAAGGATTATAGATACGGGTGAATGAACTCCACTTGTCGAGTGTTACACACCTCGGTAGGGGGCGTTCAAAGATTTTTAGAGCGTCATACTAGTCAGAGGCTATTTATTAGTTCAAATTAAGGGTCTCCCTTATGAGCTTACCATGGAGAGGAGGCTACAGAGTATTACTTGCTGCTGAGTAAAAAAAAAATCCAGAAACCAAGATGTTGATTTACAAAAACGGGAAAAGAGCACCAATGTTTTGCAGAAGACATTCAAAGGGGAGGTAGCAGAGCACTGAAAAAGCCTGCTCGAGTGCTTTTTAACTCTAACCGATGCAGTGCGCGAGTAGAGTAGTGTCACTGAAAAAGCAGTCGTCCCGTCTGTGAACAAAGCAACCATCGTTAACATTTCAGACTCAGTAGATTAAGTACACGTAAAAAAATATGTTAATTCACAAGAACTCTGCGATTATCACTCCAAATTCATATTGACCGAACTGTGAAAAACTCGGCGCCTCGGTGGGATTCGTAGCTCAGGTGGTTAGAGTGTTGGCTGCGCTAAAGCCTTCCCCTTACTGCGTGGGTTCGAATCCCACCGAGGCGCCGAGTTTCTCACAGTTGGGTCAATATGAATAATTCAAAAATCTGCCAAAACATCAATGTATCACTCCAAATTCAAAGTGCCTACTATCTGGCGCAGTGTTAAGACTACTTCCCTAACGGAATAGATCTGTGCGCGTCACTTTGGAAACCCAGGAGGCCGAGTCCAAGTCCGCAGTGAACAATAGGACTTTTGTTTGATTAGCAACTGCCTTCGGTTTCAAACATAAATTGATTGCTCATCATCTCACTACACAGTACCTTTCCGCTAGCATTACCTTTTTCCTGAATCCTCACTTTAAACATCATTGTTTAACTTTCTTAAGGGTAACTGAGTCAGTAGATCTCGACTCGAAAATTTCGTAGGCTTTTCTTGACCGTCACCCTCTGTACACCACATTCAACGCAGAAATAAGTACAGTGACTCGGCTCTTCCAGTTGCACTTCGCGATTGCGGTCCCCTTAATAGCCAAAGTGCTTCAGTCTAGCGGAACCCACTGTCTACCAAAATATCACTCTAGGGTCCCCGTAAAATCCCTCAAGTTCAGCCTCCATAATGGTACATATTCGGCCGTCTAGTCATACGCTACGCGCATGGCGGCAAGCCACATATCCTTTCCCCTCCGAGGAACGTAGTGCAAGCTCTGGCCATGAAGGTCCAGACCGCTTCACAACCAACAGCTAACTCTTTCCACACCTAGGAGTGAAGGCGTTGTGAACTTTCCACGGTCTCCACCCCAACTTCTACAAAAAACCCGCAACTAGGCGCACCTACAAATTCCCATGAACTTGCTTTTTGGCTGGCAAAAAAACAGGAAAGAGCCATAGCTGTAACGGCGGACTGCAGTTTACACGCAGTGAATAACCTTAGAAAAAATGGAAAAACTGTCAGTAGATGCTGTGCGAGGACGAAAAATTATGGTCGGTGAAGGCAGCATAGCAGTAAGGTGCTTAGCACATTGGTGTGGAGACTCACCTTAGATTTCAATTGCGTGTCATTCTCCCTCTCGTCCAGGTTCTTTTTTAGGTCGCAGATTTGTTGGAAAAGCAGGTCGCGATAGACACGCAACTCTGACCGCTTTTCAGCAATCGCGTGTTCTGACAGGGTACAAAATATCACAAATGAGAGTACGAAGAAAAATTAATCTAACGGTTGCACTCAAAGTGGCAGATGAAATGCTGAAAATGCAGAATCCACTTATAAGAGCCTAAGCAAACACGCTAAACACGAAATTCCTAATGAAAGAAAGGTGATTCACAAGTAAAACTGGCATCCAGAGTTAGTGCAATGAACCAGAGGGGACACTCAATATCCCCAACTGTGAAGAGTGACACGGCGTACTAATGAATGTGTGAATATTCAGCAGAGTAGTCGTGATTCAGTCACTCGGTTTGAAAGGAAAGTCAATGAGACGCCCAGATATGACAAGATAAACAAAGCATGCAGTTGTCGGTATGAAAACGAATGTCAAGTTAGAAGGAAGAAGAACGCCTTTTGCAAAATTAATGAAAACAAACTAAAACCTAGACCCTCTAGACGATACCAGGAATATAAGTAATTAACTATTTTATGTCCAATGAGCCAAGGTAATAGTCGTTCATCTTGCTTGGCAAGAGCTTGCACCGGCTGGCTTCGTTGACTCTCGGCAAATATGACCCGACAGAATTCGCCGGAGAGTTTTCGAGTTGGACGGCATAGTGGGTTGGTGGGCCTCTTCATCCATTCCACTTTATTTACAAGTTTTATTCAAGTTTGATCAGCACAAATGACAGGAAGACATTTAACCAACAGCCGACAAGTGACTTGCAATGGAGCATTTAAATCATTCGCGCAACCCATCCTGGGCTATCTTTTACACTCTAGAGTCTGTTTGGGATTTCAATCAGCGTCTCATAAGTGCTGGTAGCGACTGCTAAGGCATGGTCAGTAAAATTTTAAAGGAAGATCATTTACGAAAAAAAACAAGCCTGGTTCCCCTGAGGGATACTGCGTAACAGAATACATTGTGGCTTTTCACAACGCCGCAGATCGAGTTTTAAAATCTAACCTAGGGAAGGAGTAGGAGTTTTAATTAACAAGGACTCTGCAGAACCGTAGAAGGCACTAACTTTGTTGGCAAAATCCAGTTCTAGAAATACGCCCGGAAAATATATAATCAACCAGAATTAAGCCTGTCGAATAAAATTGGCTATGTCTTTGGCACTTTATAAAAGAGAATGTCACAGTATTAAGGTTCAACCAGGACTACCGATGACAAAGTGATGCCAGGGAGGATTAAATGACCGCTTACAAACCCGCACTGATATGATGGGGAAATTAGTTATTTTCATCAATTTGGACGGCAAAACATTGCGCACATATGGGGCATGGGGGGTGGATCAAAAGAAGTGCAAACACAAGGGAGAACTTGCCTAAAGGACTGAAGGTGGGTAAGTTAAGGGCGGCGGTGCTCTTCATGTCGTGGGTTAGAGAGGTGAGTGAAACCAAATGCAGTCACCGGCAGCAGAGTGGAGGGTGGGGGGAGGATTGGCGCGCGGACCAGACTCAGTTCTGGCAGTGGTCGAACTGTGCATTGTTATGCATCAGAGAAAGTGCTAATCATGCGCCTTCTGCGAGCCAACCAACCAGAAGCCGCAGAAGAGGCACTGGCAGATCTGTGACAATCAGAGGCACCTGAGGGCAGAGTACTGACACCTCGCGCGCGCGCAAACACACAGAAAGCGGACGCAAGAGTCTATCAGCGAGGCAACAAACACCGGGCTGGGGCATTCGATTTACATATACACACGCGGGGTGACAACACGTGGGGGGGGGGGGGTCGGGGCAGGTGAGATGATGCAGAGAAACTGGCTGTTTTCGAGTGGCGGGTCGAGTAGTCAATCTACGAAAGCCAGTTGGAAGGAATGCAGTCGACAAACAACCTGTATTTATAAGACGATATGCCTACAGCGCAATACTTGGACATGGTTCCCCTGATTTAAACCTATACTTCTATTGAATATAACACATCAAACGGCGTAATCATTGCTAATATACAATGCACAATTTAAGAAAACATTCTAGATGCGAACAAAACTACGGCTGATCCATTTAGATTGGCGAAATCCTACACACACTAAAGTACGAAACGTAGGACAAATTAGCAGAAGTCCTTCAAAATATTGTCAACTTGGAAACGCAACTTAATTGAGACTTCAAGTATAAGTAGCAGTAAATAAAATCGTATAGCAGCTCACTTAAGCTAACGGGTGTCAGATTGAGAGACGTCGCAGGGTCTACATCAAAAACTTTTCGAAAGTCGATCCGTATATAGTGTAACCTCTCACGTTAGTGGGATGTGTCAATGTGGCCTTTTCGGCCTTCTCATGTATGTGAAGACTGAGTCGTCCACCCCTTGTGGGAAAACCTGATGTTGAGAGGATTGCGTAAAAGTTGCGCTGCACCGAATACGGAGTGCCAGATCAGGGTACGACACAGGTAAGATGCGAATTCAGAGCAAGCACCAACCATTCATGGGGGTATGACAGCAAACCTGGCCACGGGGGGCTCGCGTCGCAGCAGTCACTTGCGCCGGATCCCCGCATACGCCGGCCCGGCTGGTGTAGGGGAGATGGAAGTAAAAGTGGTGTCGACTCCGTGGACCGCGTCCTCAAGTCACTAAGCGTAATGGCTCACTATAAGCTAATCTGACGTGCTTGTAATCTAACAAAACGCGTTAAGAGTTGAGCCCTGGAAGGCGGCATGGCACGGTCCCTCAGGGTGGGGGGCTGTTGTGATGGTGCCGCTCAGTTGGTATGAGAATCGAAAGCCTTTTGCTTGAGAAAACCTGGTTCCTCACGCGTGAACCAGGCTTGTGTGTCAGCTGCTGCGTCCGATCCCCCATCCGGTTTTCTTGACTCAATCATGAGGAAGGTGATTACGTGGAAGATGCAGCACAAGTCTCCTATCACAATAAAGTGTTTCATACGTAAGGCGCCCGCAATGCCGTCAGGTGGAGATCATCTTTCGTGGCGACTGAACTGTCACATAATGTGCCCACGCGATACCAACTCATTTACGGCTTAGGATGTTATCAACCAACGGGATAAATCGATCTCATCCACGGCTGAAGGTTAATCCACAATGGTACCTTCTCAGAAAAGTCCTTGCGACACTCTCAATTGCATGAGGCCATGCCTTCAGATAAAAGGTGGACATCGTCGTTCGTGGCAAATGAACTATCACGCGATGACAAATCATTTTTTTGCTTGCGATGTAATCAACCAACAGAGTAACTCGATCCTATCCAGGGCTGAAGGTTAGGTTACAATGACACCTTCTCAGAAAAGTCCTTGAGACACTCTCAATTGCATGAGATAGTCGGACTAGGTGTGGGATGTGCGATACGCGTAATTGGATTCTTTGGCACTGTCGGTCACTGTATCCTTGTCCACATCCCAACGTCTTGCGTTTTCCTGCCACAGGAAAGCAGTGGGTTTGTGTCAAAAAACCCTAGAATTTCAAAGTCCATAGTATGTCCTTTTTATACAAACCCATCTATTTACTCATGTGTCCAGGAAAAGATTTCCAGTGCTCATAAAGTATTCCAGTTTCTACGTGTAGATCGCAGTGCCAACTTTCTGAGTTCTGATTAAAAAAAACTCGGGGTCATATCAAGAATCATGCTTTCCTATTTTAAATTATCACGTTTAAAAGGCTTAGGTGAACCGATTGATCGCTTTCCTTCAAGTACTAGATGGCAAAAAGAGTTAATAATATGAAAAATTGCAAGACAGATGAACTGTTAGGTCACTTTTCTATTATAACGTGATTAAATTCATAGTGGTTCTACAAAGGAATTAAAAACAAATAATACGAACATTGCCTTTCATTTTACGATATTTGCAGAGGTAGCTATAAAGACACCAAATCAAAGGTAGAATTAAAGCGGGCAATCAACAGTTTCAGCTGAGTTTGCCCTCCCGATTGTACGGTTGCATATCAAGACATTTCAGTCAGCCTGGATTCCTGAGCAACGCGGTAGATGCGTTGGACCAACACGGGAACTACATCGAATTCTGGCAAGCGTGACTGAGAATGTGTCGCCAAGACAAATGTCAACATTCAGGGTGTGATGGCAGGCTCATTTGCAGACTCATACGGCGTCAACGGAGCTTCCTACCAGCCATTATTTTTGAGAAGTCTGGACAAGTGTTTGTCGGGGACCAAGGGCCGTGCTGGCACGCCTAGGTGCGGGTATCCGTTGTGCCAGCCACTTGCGGCCCCGCCTACCTCCAGTCTCCTGGAGTACGTCTTGACACCGCGTTCAGGTGGGGAAGGAGTGAACGCGGTAGATGCTGCGTAAGTCGGACGCCATGGTTGAACTGTCAAGTGTGTATGTGTGTCAGCCCCCCCCCAAAAGGCAACGTGGTAGACGCGTTGTATCAACACGAGGGCTACACTGGATTCCGGCAGGCATTATCGGGAATGCCCAGCCATAACCAATGCCAACATTCGGGGTGCAGTGGCAGGCCCAGTTACCAGCTGACGTCGCGCAAATTGGGACCTCTCACATCCCCCATTGTTGTCGGTTTCCAATCCTGACAAAGTGCTTTTGTGGACCAGAAGGTGTGGTGGGGAACGCCAAGGTGCGGGCTCGGACGCACCATTCACCTGCTCCCTTCCCCGCCTCCAGTCTTCTTCACTCTGTCTTGACACCGGGACCAGGTGGAGAAGGATAAGATTCTGCGGTAGATGCCGCGCAGTCTCTACTCACTACATCCTAATTTATGTCCAAGTCACCGTGTCTGCTTTGCCTGGCTGTGGGGCACACGGTAGACATCGTCGGACACGACGGTTGAACTGTCATGTGTTTTTGAGAGAGTCTAAAGTCCCCGCAGAGAACATGCAGAATTTAGGTAGTAATTATTCGCAGTTGTTGGAAGTATTCTCAATCGGAAGCTAGTACGTGTTCGGTGAGGACCCACTCGCAGGAATAAAAACTGAATTCACCTGACATTTTGGGTTCATATCCGAACCTCCCCTCAGGCACAGCGGGATATAATGGATTCAGATCGAATTCGAAACCTCCGGTGAGTAAGATTCGTGTTTTTATAAGCAGGTGAATCTTCACGCTTTCAACTGTTTTCCGAATTTAGTCTTTTTGCTTTCATCGACTACCTTGCAAGAATGACTGTGATATTATTTACCGCGCTAATTGGCGATGCGACCATACCAAGTAATAATTCCGAACTGAGGGCCATACTAAAGATAACGACACATTTTCGACTAGCCAACCATTCTAAACTAAGTCCAGCATTTGAAGTAATGTGAAAAAAACCAATGTACTTGTGTCAGGATAAACAATAAGCTTTAATTCTGGAGAGGAATTCATGTAGCGGAAGACCGACGTGCTAATTGGTGGAGTTCTCATCAGAGGTCTAGGTTACAGTCATTACAGAAATTCTCTTATTTACAATACAGGCAGCGATTACCATCTTCCGCCAGTACAGTAAATTTACGTGATCAACCTTTGAGTTAGACGGGTCGATCAAAAAGCTCCAAACACGAAGCCTTGACTCTGAATCAGATAAAAAGTCAATTTGGTTGAAAGAAGAATACTGGCTGTCAACGCGTGACCATAAAAGATAGGAGTGGTAGATCAGTAGACCCACAGAAAACGATTAATTCAATGCAACAAGTGGAATACTGAGCAACATTTCATGAAACGCTGATGTAAGTTCTCAAATAAATTGCATCACTCTCGCTTAGAGAGGCGACAAAGAAGACACCGACATGTCAGCCTTCAAACCACCCATCAGAAACAGCAACAAACAATGCATACTAAGTACCTACTAATTACAACTTTGAGGAAAACTGTACTGTACCATCATTACACTATCAACGCCTTCACACTCGAAATAGTAGGGAGGGGAATTTGGAGGAAGTCGAAACAAGCCATACATTAGCAGTTTTACGGCGCCTCAGTTCAGACCTCAGTTTGATCACTACATTGGAGGAAACAGAGTTCATGTTCTTAAAAGCATATTTCTTTCATTTGTCGATGCCTGGTTAGCTTGTCTGGGACAGAAAACTTGAAAATTGAATATTGCGTGCTTCTTAAGTACCAGCATGGTAAGTGGATGTTACCTAAAACTAGCTGAGCTGCCAGTTTATGCTTCGGAATGCGTTTTTGCTTCTGTCAGCATTAAAGCAACATACATTTGAAAAAGTTACCTGAACAATATCTTGCCATGCGACCTCGGAAAATGTAACTTATTTAGCTAGCTCACAGACCCGGGATGAGCCTGACAGATAGATAGATAGATAATTTGGGGCGTTTTCGGCTTAATTGGATAAACATAAATGAGTCGAGACGTAGCTGAGTCCTGGGGGAATGAAGTTGCGGATAGTAAATGCTTACATTGACTTGTAGCTTTGAAGAACGTGCCTGTGGAGTAAGAAATAACGCTGGTGTC